TATATATATATATATATAAGCGGCATAATATACCCAAACTGATAAATCAATAAATCCAGGACTGTACGTTTGTCTATCTTTCTGTCGGTCCATCTGTATGAAAGCGCGATCTCAGAAACTATGAGAATTAGATGCATCAAGTTTGGTATAATATACAATATATATATATTATATATATATATGTATATAGCATATCTCGGATATTTAGGTATATTCGTTCATATATGGCATGCTTCGATTAAGGAAACTTATAATTTTCAAGATCTGTTATTTTTGGTCCACCAAAGATTGTTTTTCAATTACTTACACTTACACTTTGAAATTCTATGTTGAATTTATATACATAAAAGCAGTTTGGCTCACATTTATGTTTGTATGCATAAATGCATTTTTAAATACCTGGGGCGTATTTATGGTTTAGGAATTCAAGGCGTGGTAACAAAAAAAAATATTATATTAACTTCTACAGGAGCTTTTGTAATTAAGTACACCTGACTTCTGTGTTTCTAATTGCTTGTATTCCCTTTGTATATAGTTAGCATATAACTACAGCTTAATGTTAATAAGCAAATTTATTTTTTTCAGCGTGTGATCCAGTAGTGCCTAACACGGATTACGCATATAGTCCTGTCTTTGCACATATGGTGCCGGTGAAAGCGGCTTAATATGTAGGTGACTATAAATGAAATATATTAAAACTAAGCTTACTCTTATCATATTGCAGATGCACTGCACCATAATAAAAATAAAAACCATGCTAACTGGCTTGTCTCCACAGCATCACGAGCTCGTAATAATTTCACAAAATAGGAAGCATGAAATGTATTTCTTGTGCACTGTTTGTAACAGTAAATAATATATATTGTAAAACCATTTTAATGCCGGATAATCGTTAAAGAAGGAACTTGAAAACGTAAAGATTATATTTAATAATTGTTTCAAAGGAATATACTTATATACCAATATGTACCAGTATTTAAATGTATTTATTTGATAACAAGCAATAAAAAGGGCAATCGGGCTGATAAGAATCTAATAGTCTGACATCAGATTAAACATTTTTTTATTTAATTATTTATGCATTTAAATCAACGAGTAAAATTTTCAAGAGTTGCATTTAAATATTTCAATGAACAGCGAACGATACTTTAAGAAGACTTGATATTAGTAAGAACATTTAAAAAAACGGGAGGTCCTTTTTCGATTTATAATATGAAAAAACTTTGTGTTTTGTAGTACACCTTTTTATATTATTTGTAAGGCGGGTTTGTATGCCTTTTCCAAAAAATAGCTTGTTTAAAACTTATTAAATATACCTTTATGAGTCAGGTGTTAATCTTTAAACCGGTTTTAAAACTTTCAAAGGTGCAGCGTACCTGTCCGATTTATTGACCATCCAACTATCAATAGATCTGTATATAGTATTCTAGAAAATACATTTGAAATTTTGTGACTCTAGCTCTTAAATCCTAAGAGATTTGCTCTAAATGCATTACTGATTATCAGAAACAAATTCTTACTGCGCGGCACTCTTACTGCGGCACATATGTTCAAAATTTTAAGTTTCTAGCTGTTATCGATTTTGAAATTGATGCGTTTATACATACGACGGACGGACATCACTTGATCTACTTGGCTATTTATACTGATCAAGAATATGCATACATATATACTTAATTAGGTCAGAAATGCGTCCTTCTGCCTGTAACTTTCGCACAAAATCATTATACCCTTGTTAACCAGTTTTACTTATGTTAAGGTATAAAAACGGACAGCCAATTCATCGTACTTTGAGATAGAAATTCTATAATAAAGTATAATGCATGCTTCATTTCAGAAAAGGTTTAAAAGCTTACGATTCAAACAATTGTTGGCCAGTTGCAGGCTGGCTTGCAAATTAGCACTCATGCGCATAACTGAACTGTATTTTTAGTGCAGCAACTATTTTCAAAATATCAGATCTCTAGCTCTTATAGATTCTGAAAACTATGCGTTCAAACATGCGGACAGACGGACACGACTAGATCGACTTGGCTATTTATGTTTATCAAGAATATACATATATAATTAATGGGGTCAGAAATAAGTGCTTCTGCCTGTAACTCTCACACAAAAAACATTATACCTTGCTTGTTTTATTTCAGAAAAAGTTAAAAAGCTTACGATACAAACAATTGTTGGCCAGTAGCAGGCTGGTTTGCAAAGTAACACTCATGAGTACAACAGAACTGTATTTTTGCTCAAAATACATTATTGATTATCGGAAACAAACTTTTACTGCGCGGCACTCTTACTGCAGCACCTATTTTTAAAATATGAAGTCTCTAGCTTTTATTTATTCTGAAATCGGTGCGTTTATACATACGGACAGACGGGCGTGACTAGATTGACTTGGCTATTTATGTTGATCAAGAATATACATATATAATTAAAAGGGTCATAAATGCGTCCTTCTGTCTGTAACTTTCGCACAAAAACATTATACCTTGCATGTTTAATTTCAGATAAGTTTTAAAAGCTTACGATGCAAACAATTGTTGGCCAGGAGCAGCCTGGTTTACAAATTAGCACTCGTGCGTATAACTAATCTATATTTTTGAATGTTAAATATGGGCTAGCAGAAGGCTAACAAATGAATAAAAGGATGCAGATACTAAGACCAGAACACAATATGTAGCTGAATGAATGTGTTAATAACACTTAGAATTGTACATGTATACGGTGAGAGATCAGTTTGATCGTTAACCTAGTGTAGGCAATGTAATGATAAAGTTGCTGCTAATATTGGCGGGAGGAGAGGCAGTATTGATCAATTGGATAAAGAGAAAAAAGGATATATAATTGTTTTTAATATAGAAGAGAAAAATTAATTAGTTTCGGTAAAGAGTGATTAGCAGTCGTATTTTATTGTATTTTCATTGCTTATAACTAGTTCATAATACAATATAAGAAACATAACTGGAACAAAAATAGGTCCGACTGTGATACGCACTAGATGACAATAACTGGCATGTACAAAAACAATTTTTAAAAAACATGCAAATCTCAATGTTTAACAATTATGTGAGGTTTATACAAAAACATAATAATATTTTACAAATAATTCTTAATTCAACATGGTAACTTAGTGCTTGGCGGGCTTATTTGAATTTTTTAACAGATTCCAGAGTTGATTCACAAATTAACAGCTGCTATCTGGTATTAACGGAGCATATGATGACTTTAACAGTGCCTCTGTTATCGTTAACAGACCCTTCTAACAGAGCCTCTTTTTTGCGTTCGTACTGCAAAAAAGCTGCTGTTATTTACAGTTCATATGGTTTTAGCAGTGCCTCTGTTATCGTTAACAGACTTGCAAGTGCATTCCAGCAGAGCATCTGTTATCGTTAACGGACTCACAAGTTCGTTCTAACAGAGCCGCTTTTTTGCGTTCGTACTGCAAAATATCTGCTGTTCTTTACATTGTCAACCGTTGAGTGAAACAATTCAACAGTAGATAAAAAAAATGCAACAGTCGAAAGTAAACATTGTTTGCCAATAATAAGAATTAAACAATTTTGTTAAAACTTAAGTATTGAATTTCTACTTCAATGCTCTACTTTCATTTAATATTCAATTTCAATAATAAAAAACCGGGAAGGAAAATTGCCTACAACTATTTTTAGGCATATCGGCATCAAGAGAATGTGCGAAAAAGATATAAGGGGCTTTTCACTAAATATATTTTGATTAAAAGGAAAAAAGGAAAAAACAACTCAATTCAATTTATATATATTAAGAGAAGAAGGAAGCTAATTATTTTATGAAAAAAGAGAACGATTCAAATTCAATTATCTCTAAAAAACTAGTCATAATTGGCTAAGAAAATTTCCTATTTCGATTTTCACCCATATTTCGATCAATATAAAGCAAGAAAAAGAAAAAAGGGGCTTTTCACTAAATATATTTTGATTAAAAGGAAAAAAGGAAAAAACAACTAAATTCAATTTATATATATTAAGAGAAGAAGGAAGCTAATTATTTTATGAAAAAAGAGAACGATTCAAATTCAATTATCTCTAAAAAACTAGTCATAATTGGCTAAGAAAATTTCCTATTTCGATTTTCACCCATATTTCGATCAATATAAAGCAAGAAAAAGAAAAAAGGGGCTTTTCACTAAATATATTTTGATTAAAAGGAAAAAAGGAAAAAACAACTAAATTCAATTTATATATATTAAGAGAAGAAGGAAGCTAATTATTTTATGAAAAAAGAGAACGATTCAAATTCAATTATCTCTAAAAAACTAGTCATAATTGGCTAAGAAAATTTCCTATTTCGATTTTCACCCATATTTCGATCAATATAAAGCAAGAAAAAGAAAAAAGGGGCTTTTCACTAAATATATTTTGATTAAAAGGAAAAAAGGAAAAAACAACTAAATTCAATTTATATATATTAAGAGAAGAAGGACGCTAATTATTTTATGAAAAAAGAGAACGATTCAAATTCAATTATCTCTAAAAAACTAGTCATAATTGGCTAAGAAAATTTCCTATTTCGATTTTCACCCATATTTCGATCAATATAAAGCAAGAAAAAGAAAAAAGGGGCTTTTCACTAAATATATTTTGATTAAAAGGAAAAAAGGAAAAAACAACTAAATTCAATTTATATATATTAAGAGAAGAAGGAAGCTAATTATTTTATGAAAAAAGAGAACGATTCAAATTCAATTATCTCTAAAAAACTAGTCATAATTGGCTAAGAAAATTTCCTATTTCGATTTTCACCCATATTTCGATTAATATAAAGCAAGAAAAAGAAAAAAGGGGCTTTTCACTAAATATATTTTGAATAAAAGGAAAAAAGGAAAAAACAACTAAATTCAATTTATATATATTAAGAGAAGAAGGAAGCTAATTATTTTATGAAAAAAGAGAACGATTCAAATTCAATTATCTCTAAAAAACTAGTCATAATTGGCCCGCCTCCAACGACGCCTCCGCTGGCTTATTGAATTGTGCTGCCGCTTCTCATGGACACCACTATGGATACAGGAGTCACTGCATATAGGAGCGCCATGCACATAGTGTGCATTTTGGATTCCATAGAGGCCACGCTCGGGCAGCCAATTTGGACATCTTCGAGGCCGGAGCATGGCCGTTGACCATTGCAGTTCCGTCTGCAGGGGCGCCCGCACTTGTTCCGCGTGTGCTGGGAGGCAGGTACGTACTCTTTTTACTCCTTGCAGAGCCCGTCTAATTTGCCTTTTTCGTTTTCCAGGTATGGCTGCTGTACCAAACATCAGATGCCCATATAGCCCGGCCATTGCCAGTGCCTCCTGGCCGATACGCTGCTGCTGCCACTGCCACTTGTCAGGCAGCAGCTCATCTTGGAGCGGCCCTTGCAGTCGCCTCCGAATTGACGCCATTCGGTAAGTACATCTACGTTTTGCAGACAGTATTGAATTCTCACTCTTTCGTTTTGCAGGCGTCGATTGTTGTTGCTGCTGCTCATGCTCATCCATCAATGGCGGCCCAGATGGCCAAGGCTGCCCCTGCACAGGCACCAGCTGCATTTGCAGCTCCTCAGGGGGGCCAGGCTCCATCTGCTGCTGCATCGTTGGACATCTATCAACCTGGCGCTCCACAATGAGCCCAGGCATATCCAGTGGCAACTGCTCGGAATTTGCCATTAATATATTTTGCCGCCGCCCAGGAAGCGGGTCAGGCTGCAGTTGCTGCTGCATCGTTGGACAAGCATTATTATTATGCCGCCGCAAGGAAAGCGGGCCAGGCTCAGTCTCAGGCTGCACCGATGGATAAATTTCATTTTGCCGCCGCAAGGAAAGCGGGCCAGGCTGTACTAAATGTACCAACGAGGGAGTCATTTCCGCCTTCTTCTGCAGGTAAGTTGACAAAAACAATTCATATTCATCATTATCAATATCGCTATCATTATTATTATATATATTGTTGTTATTGTTAGTATTAGTAGCATGTATATTGTTAGTGCTGCTGCCGCATAGCCGTTGGGCATGCTGCATTTGCAACTCATTTGTATTCAGCTGCACTGACTCATTGTCTGCGAGCCGCTGCTGTATTTCAATTTCATTCCCTGCAGCGTGCAGCGCATCATCCATCTCTTGCCCCAATGCCTGCTCCAACATATCAAGGCTGCGCTCTAGCTGCAATTCATCGGCATTAATAGCCGATTGTATTATACCCTCTGAGGCCGGCAATGCCGTCCGTATTGATAACTGATCTGAGGCCAGCGCTGCTGCCCGAAATAGTTCCTGTTGCTGCCGCTGCATGTGCTCTAATTGCAGCTCAGGTATAATTAGCCATTGTATTTGTATAGGCTGATCACTAATTAGCGGCTCTAAGATTTCGCGAGTTGTTAAGCCATTTTTTAGTTTACGATGAAACGTGTTTATTGTAGACTCGCTTAAACGTTTTGGAGGCCCCATTGATCGCCTTCGTTCCGCCTGAGCAAGCATATCCGCTCTCCTTATAGCCTCTTGCTCATCCTCCTCAAGCTGTAGCAGCGTTGGCAGCCTCTCCTCAATCACCTCTGTCTGCTGTATCAACTGCTGCTGCCGGAGTGGCGTCATGCATTTGTCCAATTGTTCCGTATACCTGGGCCTCTGTAGGCGCACAGGTATAAATGGCTCTAGCAACAATTTCCGAGCTTCAATATTCGGATGACAACTTAGTGACTTTGCAAATCTATCACTTGCCAACTGATATACTTCATCTACACTTTTTATCCCATACGTATTCCTCAACGTCTGGTTCCTAGTATACCAGCCAGCATTCATGCATGTCCGCAAAATTTTATTCTGCATTGTTTCTATCCTTTTTATTTGCGTGTTCGAGACCAATGCTCCCCACACAGGAAGCGCATATTGCCATATAGGTGCAATCAGCTGTTTATATACAACAGCCTTGCAGTTTTTGGCTAGCCTACTATTATTCCCCAATAGCCAATCCAGCTTTTTGTATACACCACGCAGCCTTATGCAAAGCTGAGTTATGTGTACATTCATTGTCAGCTTTCTATCCAACAGTAAGCCCAAATATCGGTGCTTCACATTATTTTCGATCATTTGACCATCTATCTTTGGACAAAGCCCTGCTTGTGACGCATCCAGCCTACGCGTGCTAAACATTACATGCGCTGTTTTGCTACTATTTATCTTTATGCACCATTTCTCTGCCCATCGCATCAAACAACTCAAATATCTTTGATTTGTTTTCACTGCCTCCAATATATTTTGAGACGCACACATAACTATTGTGTCATCAGCATACGTTGATAGCTGCATCCTATTGGCTTCATCGTCTCTCATTACAAGTCTAGGTAGTGGCATGTCTGAAGAAAATATTGTATACAATATAGGCCCAAGCACGCTGCCCTGGGGTACACCTGCATACACTTTTCCAGCCCTTGACTTTATGCCATCATTGCATTTTACAATAAATGTTCGCTCTGCCAAATAGCTTTCCAATACATTATACAGTGCAAGTGGCAATAATTTTATCAATTTAACCAACAGACCAGCGTGCCATACGCGATCGAACGCTTCACTGATATCAATAAATACAGCCGAGCAATATTGTCGCTTCTCATAAGCATTCAATATATATTGAGTCACCCGAGCCAGCTGCTGCTCAGTCCCATGATCTTTTCTAAACCCAAATTGATGGCTTGGTATAGCATTTGCAAACTCTTTGCATTCAAATAGCCTATGCATCAGAAGTTTCTCAAACAATTTAGAGAACCCTGCTAGCAAACTAATTGGCCTATATGACGATATCTCTGCTGTACTTTTACCAGGCTTCAATATCATACTGATCTCTGCGCTTTTCCATTGCAGATGAAAGTGCCCATACCTTAATATACAATTGAATATGAGCACCAGGTATATAATCGCCTTCTCTGGCAATGACTTAATAACCCTATTATCTATATTGTCCATGCCCGGAGACTTGTTTAGTTCTAGCATATCTATCTCTAGCATAGTCTCGCTAAGACTTATCGGACGAAATGGCAGCACAGACACACTGTCTATATTCTCTTCGAATTGTTCTAGCTTTTTTCGCTTCTGTTCTAGCAGCTCGTCTGCAATTAAATTACGCACATTTTTCTGGTTGACAATTGTTGAGTGGGAGGCTGGGTCGTGGATGGGACGAGATGGGAAACGGGACGGACAAATTGGGCACTCCCGCCCATCGGCCTGCAAGCGTGAGCGAGCTAGCTAGATGAGAGGGCGTGTATATGTGTGAAAGTGAGTGAGAGAGAGATATAATCGACCGTATGGGTGTATGGTACAAGGGTGAGCGTGTGTGTGAGTGCAGGAGCAAGCGAGTCGTAGTGGGGCGGCTTTATTGGCGCCCACTCAATTTTAATTCTAACTACTCTCATAGAACCATGCTCCCTATCACACACACTGGTCTCACGCAAGACACCAAAACATCCATTATATCTAACTACAAACACGACCATAGACCCAACAATCCGGACACCTGCAATCCATCTCAGATCCGTACATCCAGACTCAAGCAACCCATTCCAGAAAGTTTATTGATATACATTCATATTCTCTTTCTCTCTGTTTTTGTTTTTGGATTAACAAATATTTCTCCTTAAATATATATACTTATTTGATATAACAAATGTGTTACAAAATTAATTTTCTTAAATTTAAATTGTGTTTTATCTTTAGCTTAATTACTAAATGACAACTTTTTAAATAGAATTAATTTTGTGTTTTATGATATAGTGTGTGTGTGTTTGTACATATGTACATTGTATGATATAGTGTGTGTGTATTGGCTAAATTATAATTAACTATAATTTTAATTATTAATTTTTAATTTTATTATTATTATTATTATTATTTCTAGCATGTATGAGTTTTGCCAAATATTTCATACATTATTTTTAGAAAATTGATTAATAATAAACATTTTTTTGGCATGATTTAATGTGATTTTCATTTCCTTTTGTTTTAATTGATGTTTTTTGTCTCAATAGAAAATGAATTTTTTGATGAAATTGTAATTTTAGTTGTAATTGAGGATGGAGTGTGGAGTGTAGAGTGTGGAGAGAAAATATTTAAAGGAATGTACAGTTGGAGTGTGTGCGGCATCAGCATTTATATATGCCATAAGCCAGCAGATATTGATAAGTGCCATGCAGAAAAATAAAAAATTGAAAAAAAGAAATTGAAAAAAATTGTATGAGAGAATTTGCTTTTGAACGTTAATGAATTTATGGATAATTTTTGAATTCAGTTATGATAATTGATTTGAGTTTGATTTATCCGGCTAATTTAGTCGGATATTGTTTTGTCAAATATGCTGTTGGACTAGGTCATGGTTAAATATCGGTACAGCGTGTGTGTGTGTTCCCGTACGATTGTGTGCGTGTGTGTGTGTGTGTGTTATTTTGGTGGCTCGAGACAACAGAGCTGACCAACACACACACATGCACGACACACCAGGGCCACTCCACAATTGCACAACAAAGACCGTCCAATGCCTATCCAATGTATTTGATTACCCAATGTTTGTTTGTTGGGTGTCTTGTGAATTTTATTTTTCAATTTTTTGTTGTTTTCCCAATTGGAACTTTTTCTTCTCCAAACATTCTCTCCTTTTTTCCTTTGCTCCTCTGTGAAGCAAATGAAGGAAGGAGAGTATTCTACCCATCCTTTGAGCAGTTTTCAAGGCCACATCAAATCAATTATATGTGATTTTTAAATAGAGACATTACTTTCCTCTGACAATTATAAATTTGTCGCCAAGTGCCATTCTCTCAGTTGGAGCACTGGCTAAATTGTCAGAAAAAAGTCATTTGGCAATAGTATCTATTTGGCAATATGGGATTGAAAATAGGATAGGGTGGAAAAAGAAATAAAAAAATTGGGATGAAAATTCATTTGTTGTGATAAGAGTAAATTTGGTTTTTGTTTATGTGTATGAATGTGTGTGTGTGTATATGCATATGTGTGCATGTGTAAGTGATAATTGTATTTAATAGTAAATATTATTGTTTTTGTGATTGTTTGTGATATGTATGCTCAATGTGTGTATGATAGTGAGTGTGTATTTGTGTGTATGTGTGTGTATTGTATTGAATTAATGAATTAAATTAATTAATCTAGGATGCTGATGACTATGGTGTTGATGATGATGATGATGATGTTGTTTGTTGTTATTTGTTGTTGCTGTTGTTGTTGATGTCGTCGTCGTCGCCCCGCCACAGAGAGGAGGGGTGAAGGGAGACGTGTCGATGTTGAGAGTGTGCGCGCCCAGTTGGGCAGCGTTGATGATGATTGTTGTTGTTTGCGCGCAAGTGTGTGTATGCATGCGAGCATGTGTGTGTACATGCGCACATAGATGTTTTGCATGCGCGCATATGTATGTGTTGCTGTGCGTATGTTTTGTGCACCAGCACATGGGCGAGCGGAGTGAGGCAGCTTTCCTGTCTGGTGGCGCACCATTTGTGAGCGAGCATGTGTATGTGCATGCGTACAAGTGTGTGTACATGCGCACATAGATGTTTTGCATGCGCGCATATGTATGTGTTGTTGTGCGTTTGTTTTGTGCACCAGCACATGGGCGAGCGGAGTGAGGCAGCTTTCCTGTCTGGTGGCGCACAATTTGTGAGCGAGCATGTGTATGTGCATGCGTACAAGTGTGTGTACATGCGCGCATAGATGTTTTGCATGCGCGCATATGTATGTGTTGTTGTGTGTTTGTTTTGCGCACCAGCACATGGGCGAGCGGAGTGAGGCAGCTTTCCTGTCTGGTGGCGCACAATTTGTGAGCGAGCATGTGTATGTGCGTGTGCATGTGCGCATATATTGGCGTCATGATGTCTAGCATTTAAAAATGCTAGGAGACACGCTAGACTGGCAGGCGCTGGCAAGCGCGCACACATTTGATGATTGATTGTTTGTTGTTGTTGTTGTTAATGTTGTGATTATACTGATTAGTAATTGCAATGAAAGTTGCAGATATTGATAAAGTTAATAAGGGAAAAAAGTATTATGATCCGAGACTGGGTTGAGAGATGGAGAGAAAAGGTGAGTAGACAAAGGTAAGTAAAAATTTTAAATAAATATTAAAAGAAAAATAAAAAAGGATAATGTGGGAGAGAAAATGAAAGAAGAGAGAGGTAAGTGTCTCGATCATGATTATTTATATTTTAATCCCATAAACAATTTTCCCATTTTTGCTTTGATTAATTTGAGCATGAGCAGCGATATATGAAACAATGGGACCGGGCACAATTGATCCACATTCAATTCATTATTTTTTGATTTGCAATTGTATCAATTTGAATTGGATGTGGATGCAGCAGGCAGTGTGGAGTCATCACCGTGGCGAAGCACTCCCTGCATTTGTTGCTGCATTATGGACATCCAGCCCATCATCTTATCTAACTGTTCTTGTTGTTTTTGCGCCATTTCAAGGAGCATTCGATTGTTTTGATCGTTTACGGACTGCTGTTGTTGCGGATGTTGTTCTAGTTGTTCTAGCTGTTGTTGTTGTTGTTGCCGCTGCCCATCATCCACCTGCATAGGCACAGGCTGTTGATGTTGTTGTTGTTGGACAGTGGCAGTGGCAACTTGACGCCGTTTAGACAAATTTTCTAGCATTTGACATTGAGTCGAAACTATTTGTTCGCGACTCAATATCAAGCCAGTTTGATTAAGTTGGCGCTGTTGTTGTTGTTGATGCTGGAGTTTTTGGATCTGTGCCCATCTGGCTCGCGGATCCAAAGTATTGATAGTGGGGATTGTGTGAGTGGGTTTAGATTTTTTGGCATTTTTTGCCATATTGACAATGTTGTTGCTGTTAATAGCGAACGCAGCTGATGTGCTTGCAACCGGCTGTTGTTGCTGTAGCAGTTGTTGTTGTTGTTGTTGTTGCCGTTGTTGTTGCTGTTGCTGTTGCATCGGCTGTAGCTGTTGCATCGGCTGTAACAACAACAATTGTCCATCAGTGCGTTTGCGTTTTTTGATTAGCTTTTTCTTTTTGTTCTTATTAAGATTAGGATTGATATTATTTGCATTGCTAGGGATTGCTTGCATTTGCATTTGCATTGGCATTGGCATTGGCATTGGCTGTTGTTGCTGCTGTTGTTGTTGTGCCAGCAACGGTTGTAATTGTTGCTGTTGTTGTGCAAGCGTTTGTAACTGTACCGATTGCTGGCGCTGCTTTGGCTGCCTCTGCTTCTGCTTCCGCTGTATATTCGGCTGTTGAGGCTGCCGAATTTTTGGATTTTTATTATTGGCCATGGCCAATAGTTTTGTATATAATAAATCCAAATACAATGGACAACCCTTGTAGTTGGCGGTATGGTTCATGCCACAATTGGCACATTTTGCTGGCAGATTTGCCAATTTGATGCAGGCTTGTGTTAGGTGGTCTTCACCACACTTAACACAGCGCGCTGAGTGTCGGCAATAGCGTGAGGTATGATTGAAGCGTTGACAACGATGGCATTGCGGCAATCTGTTGTCATTGCTTTTGGGCCATTCGAAACGTACAATAAATTTGTATTGTTTGTATTTGTATTGTGGGTTGTATACGCTTCGTATCGTATAACCCATACAAGATCCGGAACGAGCGCTCCTCACGTCTCTGATATGTATTATATTGGTAAGTATTGTCATTATTTAGGACATTTATGATATTTTGATAAGTACCTAATTTGAGCCCATAATCAATTATGGGCGGATTGTGGTCATTTAGTTTGGCGATTAGTGCGTCTATACCGTTTTGATTCGATTGCGTAATATAATCAATGTATATTTGGGGTGGCTTAAAGTTTTTGCTCTTTGGAGCCAAAACTTTGCCATCAGCAATCGGTTGTTGTTGTTGTTGTTGTTGCAGCAGATTTGATTGCAATTGTGATTGCAGAAGAGGGGTGGGGGGCGGACGAAAATCAAAGGTAGGATTGGCTGCAATGGAAGCCGTAGAAGTAGCATTGGCTGCTGAAATATTTGCTGCTTCTATTTGATTTTCGATCGGATTGAGTATGTTATTATTGTTGTTGTTGTTGTTGCTGATGTTTGACATTATTATTGGCCGATTGGCAGAAGCTAAAGCAGCTTGAACTGCGTCAGCCAAACTGTTGGTCGTCACTATTGATGGTGTTGTTGCTGCTGCAGCTGCTGCTGCTGTTGCTGCAGATGGTTGTGATGGATGGACTGAGTGTTTCTGTGAACGTTGAGGTTGAGGTTGTGACAATTCGGACAATGCAGGAGCCTCAAAATCGGATTCAGATAGGATACTGAACCGATTTGCAATTTGCTTGCTTCGAGATGCATCCTGTTGTATGGATCGAGAAGTTGACGAAGTTTGGCGATTGATTTTACGCGTATTTTTACGACGAATTGTTTTAGCATTTTTGCCTGATTGATGGAGCAATTTATAGTGCATAGCGCCAGTTGTTGAGGTAGTAGCAATATTGCTGTCTAAACAACCATTACTGGATGTGTTACCAGTCGAACTGGAATCACTGCTTATGCATATAATTTTATTAGGTGGATCTATTGTTGTTGCTGTTGCTGCTGTAGTTGGGACAGGATGTAAGGATGCAGTCATTAGAAGCTGTTGGGCTGCATCCATTGTTGATGATATACCATCGCTGCCCTCAATGTCAACGAATAGCTCACTAGAAGAGTGATTCGGATTGTAATTATTGAGTTTTTGTGAAGTTGTTTCATTCACTTGATCGGACTCAAGCTGGGCAATTAAACGCTTGTAATGCGCTAATTGAGCTTGTGCATCAGTTGGCATTTTAGCCGGTGTTGAGCATGTTGCCTTTGTTTCAATTGTTGATGTTCCAATTGGAACACCCAATTGGATATTAAGCTGCTGCTGCTGTTGCTCTTGTTGCTGTTGTCCCTCTTGCACAGGCATTGCGGGTGCAAGGGGAGATGATGAAAACATAGCCGCTGCCGGCACCATGGTGTCTGCTAAGGTGGACGACACATTGTTTGATGGTGCTGGCATTGGTGACATCGGCGACAGCGAGAGGTCCGACAAATCGGACAAAAGGCCAGGCGATAGCGCCGATACAGCTAGCAGCTGAGCAGAGGACGGAATTTTTTTATTCTACATATTTGTGGTAAGTGATAAAAAATTTTCAGATTTTTTTTCCAGGTTTAATGATTTTTCTCGAATTTTTCCGAGATTTTTTAGTGCATTTTTAATATTTTTGTTTAATATTATGTTTTCTTAAATTTTTTCAGATTTATTTTAGTGAATTTTCTCGAATTTTTCCGAGATTTTTTGTTCAATTTTAATATTTTTATGATTTCTCGAATTTTTCCGAGATTTTTTAATGTATTTTTTATATTTATATTTATATTTTCTCAAATTGTAGGTACTTTCAAATGGTAAGTAATTTAAATGGTAAGTATGTGTATTTAATATATATTTTTAAATGGTAAGTATATATATATATTGGTATGCTATAGATATGTATTAGTATTTAATGTGTATTATTATTGTCTGATATATATATTAAGGGCGGCGGCACGCCCGAAAAAACAATAATATTTTTATAAGAAATTTTAAAGGTAGCGGCGGCACGCTATGTTAAAGTTTCTATGTTTTGATATAGTAAATTGCCGACGGCACGGCAATAGTTGAAAATTTATTATATTATAATATGATATATATATATATAAATATCAATGTTAATTGATTATCTGGAGACGACACACCAGAATATCAATATTTCTATAATAAAAGGATTTTGTTTTTAAATGGATATTGATTTGCCGACGGCACGGCAATTATTTGCTGACAATGTATTCGAGTTAGCGAAAAAACGGCGCGCTCAAAAGAGGACAGAGAGAGCAAAACAAAAGAATTTCTCAAATGGAGCAAGGCCGTGCTAAGGAGAGAGCAAATAGAAACAATGATGGCCGCTGTGAAATGAGCGAGATTTCACGCGCGTTTGTTTTGATTCTGCTGATCGGCCAGCCACTTGTTTTTGTTTTGATTCTCTCGCACGCTCTCGCGCGCTCTCTGTTTACGATGCAGAGCGGCAAGAGAATAAGCAAGCAAGCAGGCAAGCTGGCTTGGCGCGATTTTGATTCTCTCGGTGGCTCGGTGGAATTTATTATTATTGTTTTTATTGTTATACCCTTGCAGAGGGTATTATAATTTTGTCGTGAAATGTGTAACGCATAGAAGGAGACATCTCCGACCCCATAAAGTATATATATTCTTGATCAGTATCAACAGCCGAGTTGATATAGCCATGTCCGTCTGTCCGTCTGTCCGTCTGTCCGTCTGTCTGTTTCTATGCGAACTAGTCTCTCAGTTTTAAAGCTATCTTTATGAAACTTTGCAGAATTCCCTCTTTCTGTTGCACGCAGCTCATATGTCAAAACCAGCTGGATCGGACCACTATATCATATAGCTGCCAAAGGAACGATCGGTCGAAAAGTAGGTTCTTGTATGAAAAACATTTTTGTTTATAAAGTTATCTTGACTAAACTTTGTATTTATTAGTTTTACTACGCTCCCCATATATATGCAAAATCCTATTAAGATCGGGCAACTATATCATATAGCTGCCATAGGAACGATCGGTCGAAAATTAAGTTTTTGTATGGAACATTTTTATGTTTTTCAAGATATCTTGACCAAACTCGGTATTTATTAGTTTTACTAGGCTCCCCATATATATGCAAAATCCTATTAAGATCGGACCACTATATCATATAGCTGCCATAGGAAAGATCGGTCGAAAATTAAGTTTTTGTATAGAAAATTTTTATGTGTTTCAAGATATCTTAACCAAACTCGGTATTTATTAGTTTTACTACGGTCCCCATATATATGCAAAATTCTATTAAGATCGGACAACTATATCATATAGCTGCCATAGGAACGATCAGTCGAAAATTATGCTGTTGTATGGAATTTTTTTGTTTTTCAAGATATCTTGACCAAACTCGGCATTTATTAGTTTTACTATGCTCCCTCCACTTATGCAAAATCTTATTCACATCGGGCAACTATATCATATAGCTGCCATAGGAACGATCGGTCGAAAATTAAGTTGTTGTATGGAAACCTGTTTTGTTTTTCAAGATATCTTAACCATACTCGGCATTAACTATTTTCCCTGTGCTTCTTAGATACGGGCAAAGCACTATGAGCATTTTGAAAAGGTTGGGTCTGCAAGGGTATTAAATCTTCGGTGTGCCGAAGATAGCACTTCTTTCTCGTTTTTATTATATTATTGTTTAATTGGTGGCGACACACCGTATTATTTGTTTAAACAATTCGGTGGCGACACACCATATATTTATTTGAGAAAAAATATATATGAAAAGTTGGCGACGACACGCCTGTGTATTTCTTCGATATATATTTGTTTGTTTTGGTTATTGTTGTTTTTAGCGGCGACACGCTATGTTTTGATTAGGATGTACAAATTATATACATATATATTTGTGAATGAAGTCCTGAGAGTAATTCAGACACTTGTCGCTCTCTCTCTTTCTATGAAGAGATCAATGGCAAATAATTATGTTTTGATTTTGTATATTTCTGTACAGTACGCTTGCAATTTTCACACACACACACACACACATAAATCGTCTGCCTGTAGCAATTTGAGCGATTGTTGTTGTGTGTTTGTATATGTGTGCGCGCGTGACTATATCACGAGATATGCAAGCTTGCAAGTTTTCGTGAAATGCGTGAGCCTATGGGCGTGTGGGCGTGTAAGCGTATATGTGTGCGTATATATATGCGTGTGAATGAGTTTTTTTTTTTCCTTTATATTGACAGAGCATTTACAGATACCATACATCCAAATGGAAGCGAGTGTGTGAATGGAATATGAGTGAAAACACAGGAGGAATTGGTTCCCACTTGACCATGGTGCAGAAACACATTCCAAACAAACACGCTCCACATTCATATGTAGGCAGCCAAGCTTTGTCCGGATTTATTTAGGATAGATGTTTACAAATTCCAGTTACAAAATTTGAAGCTTAATATAATCACAATACTTTTGATTTGATATAGTTTAGGGTTTTATCCCGGTATGATATAGCAAGTGTAATTATGTTTGTCTCATTTCTTCTTTGTAATTGATTGTGATTAATTGAGCATAACATCTTTAGACTGAAAGCGGCGACAGCATTACTAGTATTTTGAATGCCATAAGCCGGCTGTTCTGATAATGTGCTGTTAGGGAGAGGAGGTGACGTAAAAATGGCAAGCGTGCAGGGCAACTTGGATGAAAAAACTGCTGCTTGAGACAAAAGGCAGGACTAAAAAACATCTTAGAATACCCTGCTGCTGCAATGCCAGGTATGACAAAGTATTTTAACTGGTTACCATGCGTTGTCGTTTGTGCGTCTCCCCTCTCATAGAGACTGACGTGCGATGGATTTTCAATGTATAGAGTAAGTTTATTTATGGGTGATGTTGTGTGACTGTGGAACTGGATAAATGACAAAGACATCAAATGAATGATGCAAAAGTTTATTAGGAGTGGATGGTTGTAATATGAACAAGCTGCCGACAGCATAACTAGAACATACACGGTTGCGGTCTTGGCATTGTCTCTATTCTAGTATGCAGAGCGGAATGCATGTGCATATTGAATAATTATAATGCTCCAGAAAGTTGATAGAGAATGGTTAATTTGGAAATTAGTTTGTTAATAGAGATCGTATAGATAATTATGAAGAGTATCCTAGACGGAGAGTATATATTGGAAGACCTTTACAAAAAGCATGCAGTACTTTTAGTCATCATCTGCATGATAATCATACCAAGATAGAGTCGAGTCTGTTTGCTCACCTAGGCTGCTCATGGTTTTTAAACAGGGCCCCCGGTATACGAGACAAACATGTCCTGTTCGTTGTTTTGGATAGTATAGTCAGTTTGCTCACCTAGGCTGCACATGATTTTAAGCAGGGCTCCTGGTATACGAGACAAACTTGTTCTGTTCGTTGAATTGGGAGAAATGCATATCAGCAGAGATGCGCATGACAGAGTTGTATTACTTGAAGTGAAGATTAGGAGAAAGGCTAACAGTTGATAAAGTAGCTTGCCGAAGAACCAGTGCATAATGTGTGGGTGAATTAGTGTGGGGCTGGGCACGATACAACCGGCCAGGTGATCGCGCACAAGGGGCACGAAAGGCTTGGCTGGGGGCTGTATGACCGGCCAGGTGATCGTGCACAGGGGGCACGAAAAGCTTGGCTGGGGGCAGTATAAACTGGCCAGGTGGTCGTGCTCAGGGACACGAAGGCTTGGAAGCAGCTGGACATCAAGAGGAGTATCAAGTACATCGTAGGACGGTTGATGTAAGCATCGTGGATGGTGTAGTGGCAGAGAGAAATTTTTGAGTATCAAGCATAAGGGCATCAGTTAACAGGATTCGCTCAATTGACGTCATAATGGGTATTATTGTGGTTTTTTTAGCAGTCGCATTTTATTGTCTTCTCATTGCTTACATCTAGTTCACAATACAATATAAGAGACAGAATTGGTACAAAAAAGGTCTGAATGTGAAACGGACTAGTTGACAAATTACTGGCATGTACAAAACAATCTTAAAAATTACATGCATATCACAACATTGGACAATTATGTGAGAAATTACGAAAAATAAATATTTTACAAGTATTTTTCCATTTAACAGACTTAATATTATGTTTGGCGGGCTAATTTGAATTTTTTTAACATTTTACAGCGCTATTTCTGTTATTAACAGTGCCTCTGTTAACGTTATCAGGGCTGATTTCGATAGCGTTGAGAACAGCTGACTGGACATACTCAGCTGTTGAATTTATGTAAATGTTATTAAAAACGTAAACAATGTTTGCCAGAGGGGCCAATTTGAAAGATTTGTTGAAATTAATGATTTAAAAGGTGCA